AAAAAAGAAAATAAACGCAGAGGAACCCTTTTCATCGCTTCGTTCTCCGGTACTTTGAAGCTCCCATTATCGAGAGCTCGCTGGAACAGGAGCTCGAGTGAAAGTGGCATCTGACTATCCTATCCTACCAACAAAAAAGTAGAGTGAATTTTGTTTAAAATATAACAATCAGATTCAATTAGTTTTCGAGTTTAAGCAAGTGGAGCAAAGTAAGTCGTAAAAAGATGATGCTTTAGGCTAAGCTCGAAAACGATTCGTTTAACATTACGTCATAAATGTTTATTGATATTTCTGTATGTGAGCCCGTTGAAATTTTCAAAAATTATTCAAAAACTAATAATATAATAAGACGAATCATTATTAAAATATATGAGGTTGGACTGCGCTGCTGCTACACTAATACTAATGATATTTTGTACAGTCAAGTCACAGCGCTTCTTTCACGTTCACAGCAAATTTTCCACGCACGAGTGTATGTCTACAACCAGGTAATATACCTGTCTCTTATACACATCTAGATGTGGATAAGAGACAGGTGTTCTTATTAATTGCTCATGGCTGGTTGTACACCTCTAATGCATATTTTATAACCCTTGTTCATCTGGGCATGGGAGATTTTACAAACCTGCTAACATTTATATTCAATATATTGAGCATATACTTGAATGTCTTTAGCCAAAAAACAAGGGACCAGTCAAAGTAAACAATGCTGCCCCCTACAGTTTGAGTTGGCACAATGTGCAAATAGTGAAAATCTCAAATTTGAATAGGAAAACCTTGTCACCTCATACTTTTGTTTTTACTTTTAATCCAATTAGATATATGTTGATCAGTATCTTAGTATTCATGGGAGTAGAAACGCCAGATATCGAAAATTTCTTTATAGATATACTGTATACAAACTTGCTTAACATAGATAACAAAGTCTGTCTCTTATACACATCTAGATGTGTATAAGAGACAGGCCTAGCACATTGTAGTTGAAAACGACCCATCACACACACCTTGACGAAAGTCAACTGGTGCAGTGTGTGTCTGGCTTCAGACGACATAACAGAAAAACGTTTTTCGCATACAAATCATGTTTATTGACCAAATGAACCATCACACTGACGTTATATATTCACATTGGAATTGTAGTAATATTGGCAACTACTTTGATTACCCTTTCTATTATGAAAAAGTAATTAATTAAAAAATCTACTGATTAATAATTCTCAAAAACTCATACTATACATTGATCGTATTAGTTATAATAGACAGGGAAAAATTGATCACCAATATACAAATAAAAAAAAAGTACAAATGAGCATAGGAACACAGACATACATAATATACAACTATATTAGTATTAAACTGATATGTATGCATAATTATACATATACAGTATTGTAAACATACTATATACATATATAATTATATTTATATATGTATATACATGTTACATATATTTTATATTAACATACTATACAGACATATACTGTATATACTTTGCGTATATGAGTATATATAATATGTAAATTTATGTATATAAGCATATTTGCAAGTTTTGATAAAACATTCCATTTGTTCTGATAACATTTAGGACATATAGGTTTCACTAGAACTATGTGTATTGTGTGGTTTGGCTAAGCCTAGGCCTATTGTAGTGGCAATGACCATAATGCCATACACTGTAACAGAGGGTTCTGCTTGAGCAGGGAATACAGTCAGTACATCAACTCTCTTGATTCAGTAAGCTATATTTAAACAAAAATTGTAATTATGCAAAAGCAGAGTGTTATTTAGAAACATAAATTTAGTGAGCAGGACTTTTCGGGAGACAGGGCAATGTGCATCTATCGTATAATGTAAGTTGATCTACAGAATTATCAAGAATACTGTCAGAGTACAAGTTCTAATTATATAACTTATAGCACGCACTTAAACTTAGACGGGTCCACATTCAAACTTTTGGCCACAAGATTTCATTTGAAACAAGTGCAATAAATTTTTTGAATACGCACATTACCACCGTGGCGTGAGCGTGATGGCACGGTGGTAAAGCACAAGCACTAACGTGAGGTCATCTTGGAAGTGGGGATAAGGCCCCATAAAAAAAAGTATTAGTTTATCATCCTATCAAGACCAAAAAACTGATGAGGGAGGGAGGTTTTTTTTTT